GCCAGTGAACAGCATGGGTGCTGAGGACATTAGCCAGTTAACATCATGGGTGCTGTGAACATTAGGGAGTGAACATCAATGGTGCTGACGGCATTAACCAGTAAATACAGTGGGTGCTGAGGGCATGAGCCAGTGAACATCAAGGACGCTGAGGGCATTAGCCAGTGAACATCAAGGGTGCTGAGGGCATTAGCTAGTGAAAATCACAGGCGCTGAAGGCATAAGCCAGTGAACATCATGGGTGCTGAGGGCATTGGCCAGTGAACATCATGGGTGCTGAGGGCATTAGCCAGTGAGCAACATGGATGCTGAGGGCATTAGCCAGTGAAAATCATTGGTTCTGAGGGAATTAGCCAGTGAACATCATGGGTGCTGAGGGCATTGGCTAGTGAACATCATGGGTGCTGAGGGCATTAGCCAGTGAACATGAGTGCTGAGGGCATTAGCCAGTGAATATCATGGGTTCCGAGGGCATTAACCAGTGAACAGAATGGATGCTGAGGGCATTAGCCAGTGAACATCATGGGTGCTGAGGGCATTAGCCAGTGAACATCATGGGTGCTGAGGGCAGTGGCCAGTGAACATCATGGGTGCTGAAGGCATTAGCCAGTGAACATCATGGGTGCTGAGGGCATTGGCCAGTGAATATCATGGGTTCTGAGGGCATTAGCCAGTGAACAGAATGGATTCTGAGGGCATTAGCCAGTGAACATCATGGGTGCTGAGGGCATTAGCCAGTGAACAACATGGGTGCTGAGGGCAGTGGCCAATGAACATCATGGGTGCTGAGCGCATTAGCCAGTAACCATCATGGGTGCTGAGGGCATTGGCCAGTGAACAACATGGGTGCCGAGGGAATTAGCCAGTGAACAACATGGGTGCTGAGGGCATTAGCCAGTGAACATCATGGGTCCTGAGGGCATTAGCCAGTGAACATCATGGGTCCTGAGGACATTAGCCAGTGAGCATCATGGGTGCTGAGGGCATTAGCCAGTGAACAACATGGGTGCTGAGGGCATTGGCCAGTGAACATCATGGGTCCTGAGGGCATTAGCCAGTGAACATCATGGGTCCTGAGGACATTAGCCAGTGAGCATCATGGGTGCTGAGGGCATTAGCCAGTGAACAACATGGGTGCTGAGGGCATTGGCCAGTGAACATCATGGGTGCTGAGGGCATTGGCCAGTGAGCATCATGGTGCAGAGGGCATTGGCCAGAGAACAGAATGGGTGCTGAGGGCATTAGCCAGTAAACATTATGGGTGCTGCGGTGTATTTTTTCATCCTATGTCACAATAGTAACATTCACTAAAACAGACAAAACATGCTATTATCTGAACCGAGAACAATGATCCCATAATTTTATTTCATTTTCTACATTCTTGTAACATCAAATGTAAAATAAGTAAATATAAAGAAAATGCCATTACTTTTACATTCCCACATCTTCAGATGTTTCCATACAGCCAGGTATTTCAGAAGAAAGTCAGCTGTCAAAAAAAAAACATTCAATAGACCTTTGATGCAAATAGCTGCAGCGAACACATTGAGTGAGAGATCGTCATAAGACGCCATTTTTGCCCTTCAAATAGGGTTCCATTTTCACCCGTCATCTCGTCCACTGTTTTAAATACCGTAGTTACATCGATTAGTGAAACGAATAAATGCTTTCATGGAAGACCATTTGAGGTACAGAAACAAGTCTTGAGTCTCTCTTTCAGTACAGGATCTCACCAGTCTATTGCAACTATAGTAGAAAATTAGATGACTTTGTGGACAGGTAAAAATGTTTACAAAGGCACCTCGGTAAATATAACTAGATACAAATATTGCATCAGGACATCAAAATACACATATCACAGAGCACTTTTAAAGGCTGGAAAATCGAGTATGTTAATTTTTTTGTCATTATGTGAAGGTATATATTTTGATTTAAAAATAAATAATTTCTTTAAAATATAATAATGTAATAGAGCACTTGTTTTTCAGCAGTTTATGGCAAACAAAGCCAAGTTAAATTATTTTTTCCCCACTTCCAAACACCATGAATATCAACCACCCTGTGAAAGATACACATGCAGTTGTCATGTAAACAAATGGCCAACTGTGCGAGTATTCCAGTATGTGACCAGCGACGTAGACACCGATGAATCCAGGAATAGCGCCAGCTGTGTTCATTAGACCTGGAAAGTAAAGAAAATAGAATTAACGTTATCCTTGGAAACCAAAAACAAGGATTTTTTCCTTTAAAATAAATGACTGATGGAAAAACTGTGTCATTGTAGGGCATTATAGATGATGAGAAAAGTGTAGAAAATCTAGTAATAATGGACATGTATGAGGTTAAAGGCCATTATTGCTAGAATTCTAGAAATAATGACAGGTGATATGATAGGGCATTATAACACTATTGCACAAAACCTAGTTACAGAACATTACACAGCAGATGAGAAATATGTTGGAAACCTAGTAATAATGGACATGTATGAGGTTACAAGGGCATTATTGCTGGAAACCTAGAAATAATGACAGGTACAATATTACAGGGCATTATAACACTATTGCACAAAACCTAGTTACAGAACATTACAGCTGATGAGAAATATGTTGGAAATCCAGTAATAATGGACATGTATGAGGTTAAAGGGCATTATTGCTGGAAACCTAGTAATAATGCACTGATACTAAATTATAGGGCAATATGTGGAGAATGAGAAACATTCACAGTATTTAATAGTCCTGTGGAATATTTTATTTTCGCTGGAATTAATTTTCGCTGAAATGACCCTTTGGACGTTTTGTATGAAATATATTTTCACTGATTTTTGATGAGTTTATATAGAAATATAGAAAAAAATGTATATTCGCTGGATTTTATTTTCATGAAATCATCCTTTCAGCGAAAATAGCGAAAATAAAGTATTCTACAGTATTTAATGATTGACTTACCAAACACAGCACCAGTGAAATCTGGTGCTATATCCTGAGGATTGGCAAATACACCAGCAAGACCGAATGACTGGAACACTAGAGCTGATGTTGCAAAAAATATAGCTGTTGAAAAGTCATGTGAATAACTGATAGCTAAAAGGCACATGACAACGCCACCACATTCCAATGTCTGTAAAATCAAGAAATGAAACAATTACATATAGAACAATCTGTCACATTGAAGAATGGTGGCAAGGTTATATTTAAATTAAATGCTGCTGTGTTATATTTATATGCTGCTGGGTTATATTTAAAGGTTGCAGGGTTATATTTATAAGCTGTAGGGTTATATTTATAAGCTGTAGGGTTATATTTATAAGCTGTAGGGTTATATTTATAAGCTGTATGGTTATATTTATATGCTGCAGGGTTATATTTAAAGGTTGCAGGGTTATATTCAAATGCTGCTGTGTTATATTTATATGCTGCAGGGATATATTTATATACTGCAGGCTTATATTTATATGCTGCAGGGTTATATTTAAAGGTTGTAGGGTTATATTGAAATGCTGCTGTGTTAGATTTACATGCTGCTTGGTTATATTTAAAGGTTGATTGGTTATATTTATATGCTGCAGGGTTATATTTATATGCTGCAGGGTTATATTTATATACTGCAGGGTTATATTTATATACTGCAGGGTTATATTTATATACTGCAGGGTTATATTTATATGCTACAGGGTTATATTTATATGCTGCAGGGTTATATTTAAAGGTTGTAGTGTTATATTGAAATGCTGCCGTGTTATATTTACATGTTGCAGGGTTATATTTAAAGGTTGCAGGGTTATATTTAAATGCTTCTGTGATATTTGTATGCTGCAGGGTTATATTTAAAGGTTGCAGGGTTATATTCATATGATGCAGGGTTATATTTAATGGTTGCAGGGTTATATTTATATGCTGTAAGGTTATATTTATATGCTGCAGGGTTATATTTATATGCTGCAGGGTTATATTTAAAGGTTGCAGGGTTATATTCATATGATGCAGGGTTATATTTATATGCTGTAAGGTTATATTTATATGCTATCAGGTTATATTTAAATGCTGCAGGGTTATATTTTTAGGTTGAACCAAATTACGTTTCACAGTGTAGTACTTACATGTAAACACTTTCTGGCAACAGTAACTGAGTATCCGTATGATATTATATAATCAGCAATGTATCCAGACAGGATGGAGGATGGTACACATAGTAACCATGGTATTACATTAAAAACATAACCCTATAATAGAGAAATAATTGTTAACTCTTATCTTGAGATGAGAACAGAGATTTATGTAGAAGCAGCAATCATTGTGTAGTATGCATATCAAATGTATTTTAAATGTGTTGTATACATATATGCCATGTGACAACCTATCAAACACAAAGCTCTGAGATGACCAGAATGCACTGCAGCTACATCAACTGTGATTTCTTTGGATGCTGCAGTTACATCAACTGTCATTTTTCTGGGTGCTGCAGCTACATCAACCGTGATGTCTTTGGATGTTGCAGCAACATCAAACATGTCTTTGGATGCTGCAGCTACATCAATCAACTGGGATGTCTTTGAATGCTGCAGCTACATCAACCATGATGTCTTTCAATGCTGCAGTGACATCAACTGAGATGTCTTTGGATGCTGCAGTTACATCAACTGTCATTTTTCTGGGTGCTGCAGCTACATCAACCGTGATGTCTTTGGATGTTGCAGCAACATCAAACGTGTCTTTGGATGCTGCAGCTACATCAATCAACTGGGATGTCTTTGAATGCTGCAGCTACATCAACCATGATGTCTTTCAATGCTGCAGTGACATCAACTGGGATGTCTTTGAATGCTGCAGTTACATCAGCTGTGATGTCTTTCGATGCTGCTGTTACATCAACTGGGATGTCTTTGGATGCTGCAGTTACATCAACTGTGATGTCTTTTAATGCTGCTGTTACATCAACTGTGATGTCTTTGGATGCTGCAGTTACATCAACTGTGATGTCTTTGGATGCTGCAGTTACATCAACTGGGATGTCTTTGGATGCTGCAGCTACATCAAACATGTCTTTGGATGCTGCAGCTACATCAACTGTGATGTCTTTGGATGCTGCAGTTACATCAACTGGGATGTCTTTGGATGCTGCAGTTACATCAACTGTGATGTCTTTGGATGCTGCAGTTACATCAACTGTGATGTCTTTGGATGTTGCAGCTACATCAACTGGGATGTCTTTGAATGCTGCAGCTACATCAACTGTGATGTCTTTGGATGCTGCATCTACATCAACTGGGATGTCTTTGGATGCTGCAGCTACATCAAATATGTCTTTGAATGCTGCAGCTACATCAACCATAATGTCTTTCGATGTTGCTGTTACATCAACTGGGATGTCTTTGGATGCTGCAGCTACATCAAATATGTCTTTGGATGCTGCACTTACATCAACTGGGATGTCTTTGGATGCTACAGCTACATCAAATATGTCTTTGGATGCTGCAGTTACATCAACTGTGATGTCTTTCAATGTTGCAGTTACATCAACTGGGATGTCTTTGGATGCTGCAGCTACATCAAATATGTCTTTGGATGCTGCAGCTACATTAACTGGGATGTCTTTGGATGCTGCAGTTACATCAACTGGGATGTCTTTGGATGCTGCAGTTACATCAACTGTGATGTCTTTCAATGTTGCAGTTACATCAACTGGGATGTCTTTGGATGCTGCAGCTACATCAAATATGTCTTTGGATGCTGCAGTTACATCAACTGTGATGTCTTTCAATGTTGCAGTTACATCAACTGGGATGTCTTTGGATGCTGCAGCTACATCAAATATGTCTTTGGATGCTGCAGTTACATCAACTGGGATGTCTTTGGATGCTGCAGCTACATCAAATATGTCTTTGGATGCTGCAGCTACATCAACTGGGATGTCTTTGGATGCTGCAGTTACATCAACTGGGATGTCTTTGGATGCTGCAGCTACATCAACTGGGATGTCTTTGGATGCTGCAGCTACATCAACTGTGATGTCTTTGGATGCTGCAGCTACATCAAATATGTCTTTGGATGCTGCAGCTACATCAACTGGGATGTCTTTGGATGCTGCTGTTACATCAACTGGGATGTCTTTGGATGCTGCAGCTACATCAACTGGGATGTCTTTGGATGCTGCAGCTACATCAACTGGGATGTCTTTGGATGCTGCAGCTACATCAACTGGGATGTCTTTGGATGCTGCTGTTACATCAACTGGGATGTCTTTGGATGCTGCAGCTACATCAACTGGGATGTCTTTGGATGCTGCAGCTACATCAACTGGGATGTCTTTAGATGCTGCAGCTACATCAACTGTGATGTCTTTGGATGCTGCATCTACATCAACTGGGATGTCTTTGGATGCTGCAGCTACATCAAACATGTCTTTGGATGCTGCAGCTACATCAACTGTGATGTCTTTGGATGCTGCAGTTACATCAACTGGGATGTCTTTGGATGCTGCAGCTACATCAACTGTGATGTCTTTCAATGCTGCTGTTACATCAACTGGGATGTCTTTGGATGCTGCAGCTACATCAACTGGAATGTCTGTGGATGCTGCAGTTACATCAACTGGGATGTCTTTGGATGCTGCAGCTACATCAACTGGGATGTCTTTGGATGCTGCAGCTACATCAACTGTGATGTCTTTGGATGCTGCATCTACATCAACTGGGATGTCTTTGGATGCTGCAGCTACATCAAACATGTCTTTGGATGCTGCAGCTACATCAACTGTGATGTCTTTGGATGCTGCAGTTACATCAAACAAGTCTTTCGATGCTGCTGTTACATAAACTGGGATGTCTTTGGATGCTGCAGTTACATCAACTGGGATGTCTTTGGATGCTGCAGCTACATCAACTGTGATGTCTTTCAATGCTGCTGTTACATCAACTGGGATGTCTTTGGATGCTGCAGCTACATCAACTGGAATGTCTGTGGATGCTGCAGTTACATCAACTGGGATGTCTTTGGATGCTGCAGTTACATCAACTGTGATGTCTTTCAATGCTGCTGTTACATCAACTGTGATGTCTTTAGATGCTGCAGCTACATCAACCGTAATGCTTGTAGATGCTGCAGATACATTAACTGTGATATCTCTGGATGTTGTAGCTACATAGACTGTTATGCTTCGGATGCTGCAGCTACATCAACTATGATGCCCCTGGATGTTGCAGCTACACAGCAGCTCCAGCAAATGTACACTAACCTTTTGATCTGGAAATTTTTCAGTAAAATATGTTGGTAACCAAGAAAATAACAGATGAAATACATAGTTGAGACAAAATCGTCCAAAAATCATTGCCCTGCAATGCAAAGTACAAACACAGTGATTATTCAGCAATGACAACAAGAGAATCTTTCGGTCATTCACTGAGACAATGAGCAATGATTCTGAATTTTAGGCATAAAAATAGCTTTCATTTGGCCTTCTTGTATAAGATCATATGTATCCCAAAACGTATAATGTACGAGTGAAGTTTGAATGTGTTCAGCCTAGCATGTCCAAGACAGATACATGCATGGATGCACAGACACGTGGAAGACAATCCACAAGCACCCATTTTTGACTGCATCTGACTAATCAGGTCAACATGTCTCCCTAATGTCAGTTTGTGAAACCAGAGTACCCAAGTGTCCATTGTGAGACATAGAAATGAGGAAGCCGAACAAAAGCCATTATATTATCAAACAAATGTTGGGAACTTAATTGAACAAGATAGTCTTTATACAATATGAAAGCACTTCTATGGTGTTTCTTAATTGTGGTGTAAACAGCTCGGCCAGAATTTTACAAGCTCTGCATTAAACCTTTGATTGTCATATTTTTGGACATAAATGGACATAATTTCCCAATTTAAAAAAAAAATATATGAATAAATGGTTTTATTTTGTAAAGGTTTCAATGACTTAGTCACATAATAGACCCTCAATAAAGGGCCATGCTCAAATATAGCTAGGGCAAAGCTTACCAATTGACTGATTTTCAGTATACCAGCAGTCAGAGAGTGTTGGGCGGTTATGAATATTCATGAGCTCATTAATATTCAAAATGGCCACTCTCAGACTGGTGTGTATGTAACTATGTAACTTCAACTTACCAAAATGCTGGATGTCTGAACAACACACCCCATGGTATAGTCTTCTTTGGGGTAATACTCTTTTTTATATCTTTAGCACCGTTTACATGAGCGAGGGGAATTTCACTTCTATTGACTTTCATTAAATATAATCTAACGACAAGAGCCCATGCAAGACTGAGAAATCCAAATGTATAAAATACGCTGTGCCAACCATAATGCATCAAAAGTAATGATCCTACACTGCCCGAGAGAACATTCCTGAAAAAAAAAAGTTTGGATAGCATTTAACGTTTTCACCACCAGACTTCCTCACCCAAATTTGTCTGCACTATTTTCTTATATTCTTCAATATTTCTGGAAATGAACCCTAAATTTGGAGCCAACAGACAAAATTTGAGACAGTTTTCAGTTTTTACTCCAAAAAGATTTGGATATTTTTGCAGCAATCTTTCAAAAGAAAGTGCAGACTATAAACTATTTTGTGATGAAAAGCTGGTGGTGGAATGGTTAAACAGAGATAAAACCACCTTAAAGTTGTTTTATGTCATTCAAATTGTATTCACCCCTTCATATGATTCACCCCCACCCCCCGACATGAACCTGTAATAACGAAAATATGATGTTTGTTCTTCAATTTGGCTTGGTAAAAAAGGTTTGCAATCAAACAAAAATATCGAGAGTGGAAGTTATAATTCAGTCACTTACCCAGCTGATGTACCAGACATCACTGTTGAATATGTTCTAGATTTAGAGTTATCTGAGACTTTTGTGGAAAGTATACTAGCTACAGCCGGATAGTGAAACGCTGCAATAAAAACAACAAACTGAATACTTTGATCCACTTGAGACACATTATTCAAATCACACAGTTTTGAGAACGTCACATTAACATATTCAAGCAGGATTCTACCAAGCGACAACACATATTTGATCTTCATGAAATGCATAGATCTGATTGGATGTGCCTGTAAAATATGTGCCCAATCAGAGCTGTTTGTGACAATGGACATAAAACAAAATGGTGAAATGTTCAATAGCCAAAATGGGAACATTTTAAAACATCCTCGGTGAACAGGATCTGTGGAGGTATAGTCGTAAGGTGATTGCCAAATAAATGTACAGAGCAAAATGCATTATACATCACCTATTGCCTTCACAAATAGCCAAACGAATGGGGAGTCGCAAAATGTGTTAACCTTCTGACTGCCAAATTTGTTTCCCGCTCATAATTGGATTTCTTCACATTTTCTGTAATTTTCACTGAATTAAATCTTGATTTTGAACCAAAACAACAAAATGTGACATTACCGTAAAATCTGTATTAGAAGCCGCATCTCTAATAGAAGTCGCATCATTTGTTTTTAGTAATTGAGAACCCAAAATTCATCATTTCTCATATGTGTAAATGCTCTAATAGAAGCCGCATCTCCTCTGTTGCATTGTACCATTTCAATAGAAGCCGCGGCTTTTAATACAGATTTTACAGTACTAGTTTTTGTTCCAAAAATTTCAAAATTTCGCAACATGAAAAAGAGCAGACTATGAATTGAACTATTTTGTAGAGTGTACCTGAAGTTGACTTTAGCACTCAAATCGTTTAAGACAATTCACAGAGGGAAGTATGATAACTCTCAGAACAGCCATAATTTGGTTAGCAAATGAAACGACTGGAATAAGTACACATGATGAATTCAACAATGATTGACAGAGGAGTATTATTCAATCCCACAATGCCATTAGCAACACTTATAAGATGTGATTTAGATGAAAAAGGTTTTTGAGGCATTTTTTCATATGCTAATGTGCAGCAACATGTCAATGTATATATTGCCATTGGCAACAGGTGAAAAGTTGGCTTTATGGGAGAGTAAATGGAGAGTAAATTGCTTTCTAAAACGCACAGTGCAACATGGTGTTTTGTCACCCCCTGGGCTCCACCTACAGTAGACAACTCACCCTGTGTAGCTGCAAAGAGAATCCTAAAACAGACTAAAAACCTAAGTTGCTGAGACTTGATTTCAAATAAATACACAAGTAAGGGCATGAGAAGAGTGAGAGCTCCCCATATAAATGTTGCCATGGTAACAACTTGATCGCCTCCATATTTGTCACTCAGCCAGCCAGAGAGGATCTGCGTTGATGCATATCCCCAGTAAAAACAGGATAAAACCAAACCCTGCAAATAAGTAAAAAGAGATTAGCATTACATGTAAATTGTTTCATTTTGGTAATTTTGATTATTTGAGGGTATTCGTGAAAGTTACAGTGATTCACACCTAGATGTACAAAGTTTTGATAAACTGATTTGTGTCATGGAAATAAACCAGTTCAATGTACACATGTACATTTATTATGACATCAACAAAAACTGTGATTACTGTAAAATACTTTATTTTAGCTATAATTAATTTTTACTCTTTGGGTGTTTTTTTGTTACTTTTGTTTGAAATTTATTTTCACTGATTTTTGATGAGTTGAAAATATTTGAAAATTTACTTCATGCAGAACTAGTAATGCAGGGTTAATACATTGGCAAGTTACCTGTCCGGTATGCTATTTTGAGAATTCTAAAACACTGTTATCAAGATATATACAATAATCATACATAGAATTTTTATTAAGTTGACAATTTGGAGATATAAAAATGTGAAGACATTTGTTTTCTCTCTCCAAAAATCACTGATAACGTTTTTTTTTATGTTGCCACTCTGTCTGAGGGATCTTTGAACATTATGTACGCACTACCAGTAGGTTAGTTGTGTTTAGCCTGCATCTGAAGCCTGATTCGAAATAGCAATAACAACAAGGTTTGGTACAGTCAAGACAATATAATGCCAGGTTTAACCCAGAATAGGTCATAAATGTTGTAGTTTTCATTACTCAAAGTTGCTCACAAAGCAACTTTATTTATATATCGCCTACTGATGTCATTTTATATCTTTCGCATCGGCTATTCGTGGGGGCTTTTATCTTAAAGAGGTCAGAACATAACAGTATTCTACACACAGTATAATAGAGTTGAGAACAGATTACAAACTTACTGTATCCCTTTTATCCCAGTTCAGTTCTTTGGATATCTCCACAGCGGATAACGGAAAAGAGTTTCTTGCAGCAAAATTCAGCACAGTTCCCACAAACAACGCTAGCGTCCACAAGTTCTTTTCCCTTCTGTAAAACCAGATGAATTTGTAACATTTTGTATCAGTAAACGATAAGATAAAAATAAGTTTTTGTGCCGACATTAGCTGTCACTGTTGTCTGTTGCGACTATATAAATTCAATATAAATTCAAGGTTCCATAAAGGTGCATCCATTTAGTTAAGTAAGTGAATAGAATTTATTAGCGGCACTGACTTTCCCATCATTCTGTGGCACACTCACATAGGATACAGGGGATATGGCATCCCATTGAGTCTGTGGCACACTCGCCCAGTTTATGGGTCCACACCTTTTCTGTATTCAACCAAAAATAAGATTTGAAATTAAAGTAACTGTTCCTTCCTTAGTCCTAGAACAATGCAGGAGAAAATGTTACCAATAACTTTACAATTTTAAAACTTTATATTTTTCACGCAGATTCAATCTGTATTCTATCTAGAGCACACGAAATTAATAAATCAGTAATTTACTGAAATTTTAATGAAAATTGTAAAACAATGCCAGTTTTGATAATTCTAGTCTTTGGAATGACGTTCCCTAAAAGAATCACACTTCATTAAATGAATAATTCAGCAGACATCACTAACCCTGATGCCAATTACCTTATCAAAAAAAATAATTGAACCTACAGAAACTGGAAATGGTACAACAATTGATTTAGCTTTTGCCTTTGATGGTCACCACAATTTTTTTTTAAACATGTGCGGCAAATTTAAAAAAAAAAAACTATGTAACCAAATCTAGGGACATCTGGTGGTACATAGCTCATCTAGGATTCATGGTGATTTAATCATAATCTTTTCAGCCTCATGTATTTTACATTGACTTTGCACAAAATAAATCTGCACAACATTTTTTCCATATTTAATAGGTAATGGAATATGTTATATATGATGTCTAATTTGTCCAAATAATAAAAGATTCACCAAATTCACATTTGAGCTTAAAAAATCATGGCATTCAAAGCATTATTGAAAGTACAGATACTGGGTTGCTCGGTTACTCAGACCTCGTAAATTTGTTTAGCTTGTGATTCATGTTACATCTGTTGTATCTTTGTATCCCTCTAACTATAAATGTACATTGTACGTGTAAAGGCAACACACGGTGACATTGTCCCAGCTGCATAATATATGTATGTGATATTGAATGAGATATTAAATCT